AACCAGGCAGTGCCTCTGTTGAGCACTCCATTGGGGTGTTAGTTCAAAGCCAGGATCAACACAACTACTTCCTCAAGCATTTTAATGAGACTTGCAAGGGAAATCCTAAATGCTGAAAGGGGCCACCTACAGTTAATCTGTAGCTAAATTTAACAGGTACAGACACTGGTTTCAAAATGAAATGTGAAATATGAAAAGTTTAAAATGGGTTTAATTTTCAGTTGCCTAAAATACCATGGTGCTTAACTTTTTTTCATAGAGCCTAAATTTCTAGAAACCTTTATCTAATTTCCAGTCTATATATATTTGTAGTCATTTGATAATTATTTGTTCACACGCCAGCGTTACTCTTTATCTGAAATAGCATGTGCTTGTTCTTTTTTCCCCCTCCTCATGTTTGTCCTCTCACTGTCTTCACAGACAGCAATACTATCCCCTATCAGCCCTCATTTTGTATTGATTGTTCTAGCATAATCTTTCCTTGGTTTTCCTCCATTGCTGTTCATCTTATTTGCTACACCCATCACAATTTCTTCAAATTATTCACCTAAATCTTTCCTCATCCACATGACTAGGTTGGACAAAGAAGCGAGGAACTGCTTGATCATTTGCCCTTTACTCCTTTCTTTCTACAGATATTATATTTGCCATGTTTCCTTCATCTAACTTCCAATTTTTGCCTCCACTGCCACTGAAGTAATTTCCACTTTCATACCATCATATGACAGACCCTCTTTATCACTACACCTCAATTACATACTTTGTTTTAATTTTGATACAGATTATATTTTAACCAGAAGTTTAAAAAAAAAAAAAAAGGTTTTCAGATTCTGTATATCGCTCACTCCACCAAGTAAACTGAATGAAAGACGGTAGCATTAAAGATGCTGATGTCACCTTCCCTTCTTTTCTCTTTTACTCAACAGATTAGTCTTAAGAACGCTTAAATGCTAGGTGTAAAAGCTGAGTTTAATTTCTCTTCTTTCTGGTGAGAGCTGAAACTCCACCTTCTCTCCCAAAGAGTGCTCTTCTTGCAGGGCTAGAAAGCTTCCGGCACAGGCTTCCTCTAACCTTCTCCAGAGAAGCTGTTCCGTTTTGCGAGGAAAACCTAAATGTTAACTGGAGCAGGAAACCATGTCTCCCACTACCAATATGAGTTTCTTATACAGTATTCATAGTCACTCCTCTCTGGTTAAACATAATGATGTAAGGCTCAAACACATGTAGTCTCATATCATGGGATACCTCAGTTCAAATCCTTTTCAAGCAGCTGAAACATTTGAATTGGGATTTCCTTAATCAAGTGCTTTACTCAAAGGCTGGGAAAAAAAAAATACTGGAAAAGGCTGACATTTCCTTCCCCTGCTTTGTGAAAAAGGATTGAGTGAGTGTCCAAATTCCAGGAAAGAGTTTCAAGACTGAATCTGAAATGAAGTGAAACACTTCCCAGCAGCCTGGAGTTGGTGCCTTGCTCTCTGAGAGGCAGAGCACAAAGACTTTCTCCCTTGATCAGTCTGCAGGTAGGTGTGCTACCTGTTGCAGCTCCCATCAAAGAGGTTAGACTCCAGCCACGCGCTCTGCAGTGCCTGGGAGTTTAAAACAAGCCTGTGAATTCTACATCCTTTTAATGGGTCTATTTCAGATGTGCAACAAAAATGCTTAATGTACACAATGCTGTTTATGAAAGTTATTGCATCTGATAAATTTTAAGAGTATTCATTTCTCTGCTATATGAGCAAATCATGCACCACACTACTTCAAAGCCTCCAGTCTTCTTTTCTCATTTGGTATCCAGACCAAAGCATGTCAGATTTTAGTGCACTTTTACAACTGATGCTTTCTGTCTGAACTTAGTTTGGAAATTTTTGGAAAGGCACCTTGGATCTGATTGGCTTTTTCCCATTTGAAAAGAATTATCTCTAAGAGCAGGAGGATACCTTGTACGCTTTTTCATTTTTCCTGCTCTACTTCACATACGCAAACTGACATCTTACACCGTACAAATAATGGAAATTAATTGTTCCTGGTAACCTCAGGGTATTTCCTACAGACAGATCCAGTACAAGTAGGGCTGAAATTAAAACTCTGGAAGGGATTCAGTTGACTGAATGTGGGTGTTTACAACACAGGAGACTGCATCTGAGCTTGTCACCCTGGGCTTTCTTTAGAGTCAGTAGAGAACTAACTGATTTAGTCAATGGACTATATAGAGCAACTTTTCACTCTGAAGTAAGCTCCAACGCGTAGCTGGAAAAGTAGCACCTCAAACTCCACTGACCATGGTGGGAGCATAAACAAATACACAGCTAGCTCAGAAGCAGAAATCTAAATTTAAGTGAGATGAATCTCTTGGGCTGCTCTGCAAATCTTTTTAACCCACTGAAACCAGACTTGGCTTTTTAAAATCAAAATATAACGAGTAGATATTTGTTAATATATTAATCGAGTCAGTATGTTCGATGCAGTTCACTCTCACTAGCATTACCTGGTAAGCATGGTCCGTGTGTACGAGGTAGAGGTTGGTAGGAGCTGAGCGGCTCAGAGGTGTCATCAATTTAGTCTCAGTTTTGGCACAGGAAGTTTCAGGACGGATTGCATCTTGGGTAGGAAAGGAAGGAGGAGATGCTAAAGATGGAGAGACTGGAGAAAGACTGCTTAAGCCATCAGCTACTGAGTCCGTGTTGAGCCTGATTTCTGTATAGTAAAAATCCTCCTCTCCATCGCTGTAGTCAGACTCCCCTACACGTCTGTATCAAGACAAAGAATGAAGGACTCACTAAATGAAAGCAAGAACCCTAAGGTGAATTTTAAGCTCTAGCATGTGCAAACTTATTCATACTGTCAATAAATTAATATTCCTAGTTTCAACCCTACCTACCTTATCAGCATTCTGACTGCAGGGAAGGTGAGAGAAAAGCAAATCATCTAGTCTTTGCAGAAAAGAAGCAGTAATTAGTTTTTTTCTCTGTGTCGTTCTTGACTTGTTCTTTCATCTTGGACTAGAGGCTTAACTTCTAAGCTTAAAGTTGAAATATCAGCAAGTATTTGCTTCTCATTCCTAACTATTGATGTTAGCAAGGATCTCAAAGCACTTTGACTTCAGAAATAACCAAGTAGCCATAGAAATACTGGTAAAAATAGCAAACCTGGGCAAGATATACTTCAGTAATAAAACAACAAACAATACATAATTTTATCATGGGTTACTTAATCAAATATAGTTATGGCCATGGTTCGCTGTAACTTTCCTTAGCATAAATGAAAAAGTCTCAGCATGCAACCCACTCAGACACAGGTAGAGAAAGAACAAATAAGGGCTAGCTGGCCAGTGCTGGACTTTCTGGCCCTACTGTCCAGATGCAGACTTACTGAGGGAGGAGATGTAAAACGCCTTAGTGTCCCTGCCTCTCCTTGCACCATTCGCTCTACGTTTGATTGCAAGTGCTAGGAGGTAAGCAGCCCTACTACTGCTACCAGAGTAGTAGTTCCCAGTAGGCTACACATTATCCAAACAACCCACTATTTTGGCACATTCCCAACCCACGTGCTACACAAATGTAACTCATGTAGCTCAGACATGCACGTTTCTGTCCTGAATCTTCCACACGGGAAATATGGGAGCCCTGGGGGTCATCCTGTTCACACATACATAGAAAAGTTGAATGCTGCCATATGACAACGCTGCTGTTCTAGGCATTCACCCCTAGCGGATTTCACAGCCTGCTTGTCTGTATAGATCTTTATCTGTGGTCCTCTAGCCACCAGTTACTCAATAAAACTCACTGAGAGAGCATGGCTTCAGCAGATCTGAATGGCTCTGTCAAAAGTATCCTGTTGGACTGAAGCAAGTCCTTCACCACAAATTCTCTCTCCAGCAAAGTTAAAAGCTCCATTTTCTAGGGAAGTTCTGCTGTTTACTTCTATCCCTTCAATGCCACTAAAAAGATGTCCCAACATCTAGGACATACATATGTTGTCCCAACATAAAGGACAAAGAGCAACATTTGTAACTGTACTCTAGGAGATATGTTCTCTATCTCTCAAAGCCTCATTCTTCAGAGCCTACGCCCAGTATCAGTTACTACCACCTTTCTAAGACCTTCCTGAGCTCCACACCAGAATTCTTTCTTCCTCCTGGTCACTTTAATTTTTAAACACTGGATAACATAGATTATAGAATAGAGACAAATTTTCACATATCTAATAGGTGAAGGCAACAGAAAAGGGGAACAAGAAAAAGAACCAAGGAATAAATATACTTGGCAGCCAACATCTAGACAGCTCTCCTTTCTTTATCCCCTCGATATCCAGACTGGCTCCCAGACTGCTCTCTCAATGCCAGCACAAGGCAGCATGAATCCTCATTATAATTATGCATTAGAGAGCTAGTTCACTCACTGAACTGCACTGGAGATTTTAGTTACAAACTAAAGGTCTGAAAAAACACTTACGTCATATAAGATTGATTAGCTTTTGCTTCTAGCCCAAATAACATACATGAGGAAATTGCAGCTCCGTTTCATTTTCAGTTTTTTTTGAGTTAGTTCTACTCAGATCTAGCACAAGCATCCAATCTAATGAGAAACAAACCTGGAAAGTACTCATACAGGACCTTGACACCTGCCACATTTCACACAGCTTCAGTGCGGATGCAATATGCAGATAATCTTTTTCGCTCAGTATGCGCTATCTGTCAAATGTCGTCGAGCTGCAAAGCCCTTAGGGGAGCGCAGCGTGACCTAGAGCAGTATTTGACCTTCTAGCAAGGGTCACAGAAGTTTACAAGCGATAAGAAAGCGTCCTGCTCCTGGAATGGGTTCCTGTTCACCTTAATGCACTACTTTTCACCAGAAACCTAGAAATCTGAGATGGAAAGGACCAGGACAGGTCATCTCCCTGGCAAAGTGGGACTGTTTCCCCCTCTATACCAAATCCTTCTGACTTCTGAAGACACCAGTCTCTTACCCAAGGTGAATGGTCCGTATGTGTTTCTGAATCCCTGCAGCTGTGCTCAGTACCTTTCCACAGTTTTTCCACAGGCATTTGAACATCACCTTCATTGAGTTCTGAAAATTTTAAGTAAAGCAATATATTCTTCTTAGTTAGTTGCACAGAAGGAGGGAAAAAAAACCTAAACAGATAATAGTTACAAAATATTTTATTTTACCTCTATTTTAAATCAGCCCAAGCTCAGAACCTCTAATCGTGCGTTTATAATGACATAATACATCTGTTAACAGTATAATCCTATTGAATTCAACAGGAGCAGCTTGAGCCAAAAATTTACCTCTCTAGTCTTTTTCCACGCCTTTTTAATTTGCAAGTATCGGTTTCTGTCTTCCCACAAAAAGATCTAGACAACATAAAAACTTTCTGTACTTCCTTGGAGTCTTACTCTCAGAGAACAGCTGACCAGGGCTTCTCACTTAACACAGAGTATCTTCCTAAAGCAAGGTGTATACTCTAACGACTATTTTTGCTCATGCATTCCCAACACAGAAAAAATACGGCATCATAAACCTGTAGTTTCTGCTACGACAACATTCATCCAGAGAGCACGTTAAAAACTAATTTTGTTATATTCAGAAATTCCTATGTCCTTTAATTGGACAGGAGAATTTCATCTGGAGTTTGCTGGACTTTTTTTTTTTTTTTAAAGAATACGTGTATAATCCCAATATAATATCCTTGTGCATATATAAATTCATTGGCCTGAACTGAGTTATCATTGATGTAAAGCACAGCAAATAAAGCTATAAAGCAGTCCCACTTTCAGTATTTTGAAATACACTGGAGAAAACTAATTATTAGTCCAATTTAAAGCACAGTTTGTGATAATGAGCAGTACAGCTTTTAGAATTTTAGACATTTTTTAAAGCTAAAGCATTTAAGCTGAAAATGAAACCTAAATAGTTAACTCATGTTATTACAAAATAAAATTTGTGCTTCTCTAAAATCATTATCTCTGCTAGTACAGAACATGCATTATTAAAGAAAATATGAGGAAAAGCTTCAAAATACTATCCTATAATTTTAGTTACGAATAAGATTAAATGAATACACTTAAGTAAATGCTTAGTTTCTGTCTACAATAGAATAGGACTTCACACTTATTGAATTTGGACCCTATGGAATCACACGCTAGCATTTGATAACTTTCAGCATTTGCTATTAAGACAACAATTAGAATACACTTTAAAAAATCTCAGTTGCTCTCAACTTCTTTAATACAAGCTGATGGCAGTAACGTGCTCGTAGTTACTTGGCAATCTAAGAACTCATGTTTGAAAAATAGACGCTAAGTGCTTCAGGACTTGAGATACTTGATCATCAGTCAATACCGTTTCGAAGAAAACCTTTCACCTTAGAACAAATTGCACATGAACTCTCTACACAATTGTTTGATCTGAAAATACAACTACCATTCAAGTATAGAACTATTTTTCCCTAAAATTATACATAATCTATCTAGTAATTCTAAAAAATATTTTTCTTACATTTCTAATAAAACATATTACTGAACACTACAATCATTTTCAAAAATTAAATGGTTTAGAACTCCCAATAGGATAAAGACGAGGAATATGCTCACTATTTACATCTTAGGAATTCCAATATGACATTATAGACGTAGAATGTTTACTGTCCATCTCCAATTTGATGGTAAAAACAATCTGTTATCTCTATCATCTTTTTAGTTTTATTATCAATGCTGGGAGTCTGCAAAAAAACATTCAGTTTAACATAACCAAATGAAATCTCACACAGTGGAAACAAAGAACATAAACTATGCTGCCATGCCTGACTGATCAAAAAATTACCTAATCGAGCTTTAATGCTTTATTGTAACAAACAGAACAAAATGATTTGCTGAGGAATGATTACATAAATGAAAACATTTAAATGTTCAACTTTGTTAATGGAAGCTGACGTTTTCCAAATACGGAATGGAATAAACTTCTCGTGAGTAAATGTAAAGTCACCAATCACTCTATTTCCCTGTTTATGACTTGTGATTTTACAGCCCTAAAGAAGAAATAACTTGGAACTTTTTTTTTTTTTTCAGCAGCTTCTAAAGGTACAAAGTTGTACTCAGATACAGTATCAGGCTGGAGCCAGAATGAAAAAAAACTAGAGGAAATGCAGTTCATTTGTGACAGAGTCTGGCAAGTAATATTATTATTCTTCTAAATTAAACATTTGCCATACAGAGCAAAATCCCTGAGAACCAGAACAGGCAGTGCAATATATCTGTGGAGGCTACGTAAATAGAAATATTCGAAGACAACTTACATAACAATAAAGATGGCAGCTGTAAAACCATCTGTCTAATCACAGCTGAACAATAAGAGTGATGAGAATAAGCATAACTTTAACTGAGAAATAAAAGGCAAACTAGTACACTTCTGCGTTCCTACCCCTTTCCCACAAACAAGGGCATAGCAGTACGGGTCAACAAATGAGCAACTTCTGGAGCAAAAAGATAAATCTGAACAGGTTTGAATAATCATTAAAACTTCTTCCTGCTGGTGGTGAAGCAATTAACTCTCTCAGTCTGAGCCAGAAACAAAGTCACTAAGGAAGAATAAATTCTCTGTTTTTCTCCTCCTTACAGAAAGCTCTTTTTCATCTTGCTATGTAAAATCTGTCCTGTTGTGTTAGGAGGGAGGAAAACTTGGACTAGTGCCATCTCTTTGTTTTCTTTTTCTTCGAGAGGAGCTTGCTTGCTAGCCTAATGCTGCTTTTTTGTTTTTGTTTTGGACTTTTTTTACACTGTGTTTTATTTATTACACTTCTAGGCTCCTACCAAGGATAAATTTGGCCACTGCTAATACTGTATCAAAAGCCATCACGTTTGATCTCTCTCTCCTTTTTTCACCCCATATGTTTGTGCAGAGAATGCTTCACAGTATTAAGGTATCTGACATGCTGTCAGACTAGCAGTACTTTCAGGGAACAAGTAGTAATAAGGCCATATCCAGCCTTTGCAATGACATGTAAAGGATGCCTGTTGCATCCTGCATACAAAGAATTTGCCAAAGTAGCATAGAAATCCTTGAATGGCCAGAGGCAACACCTTCTGGAAATCACTTTACTATTTTCTGAGCAGGAGGCTCTGCAGAACCTCACCATCTGCCAGCAAATATGTGGTGCTGATGGCAACATGTGCAGTAGGTGACTGGGTTCAATTAGACATAGTGACATTAATGCAGTCCGAGTATCTACATTAACTGGATGCTAAGGAGGGATCTGCCCAAAGAGCTGGGTTATTTATTCCTTTCTCACAGCAGAATAAGTCTAACATCATCCACTGTATTACCTACTTGTACGGAATTTAACACAGGGCTAACCTTTCTCTTCCTAGGAATGGGTTCATCAAAGAGAAGGTTGCTTGTTTCAGCTTCATCAATACCATCATCTGGCTGGGAAGGTGTTCGAAAAGCTTTGAAACTATCAGCTGACAGAGGCGGAGATGGGGTAGATGGGTTGGACTGATCACTGGGAGCGTTCCAGCTCCAGTATCCACTACTGCTGGTACTAGAAGGCACAAATCCTCCTTCTTTCCAAGATCCATTTAGGGATTCTGTGAAGAATAACAACAGCAGTCATTACAACAAATCTTCTTACATTATGCAGTAGGGCTATGGAGCTCTTTTATCTGAGGCTTAGATGCTATGTTGGTAATTAACCGTACCTTCAATAAAGAAAAGTGAAAGCATAGGACATACACAGGACAGGCACATCTACCCCACTGCGCTTGAAGGACATTTACTAAGATCCTTGTTCCACACTTCATTTACAGGTATTTTAAAAAAACAAACAAGGAATTTTTCTAAAAAAACCCACTGGGTCCAGAAAAACAACCTCTTCTGGAGCATAAACCATGATAAGCAGTCAGATATTGCATGCATGGTTAAGGAAAAACATTCAAATGCGTTCTTAACCTTAAACATGAACACATGACTGCAGTGGGACATCACTGCAAGCTTCAAGTCATTGCACAGCCAACAGGAGACCCCCTGGAAAGAGGACATATATTCTGAGTACCAGGACAGTAACTGGATCTGTAAAAACATAATCACCATCTAAGTGCTAGAACATCAAACAAAACCATAGTTACACTCCCAACACCTTCTCATACATAGTCTCCTAGTATACACATCTCTGTCTAATTTGAATCTCTTCAAATTTAGGTGGTACATGTCCTTAGACATCACTTTTTCTTCATAAAGGTGCACTGTTAGGCATCTGGTTTCAAAAGCCATTTAACAGGCTCATTTTTTTTTCCTGCTCAGAAAAGGCATGAATTAGAGGCCTAGATTGGGATTTCACACTAAATACTACCACATCAAATTGGCGATGTATCCGAAATCATCCTCTCCCTCAGTAATACAGGTAGGTGCCTCTTCAGTGCTGACATTCAGAACCTGAATCATTTCCACTCCTACGCACTGGATGAACCCTCTTCCTCACTGCAGCAGGTACCTGGACATTACATAGTAAGCAGATCCTCTAACTATTAGGTTATTATATGATAGGGTGAGCGGGAGTAAGAGCACCGATTACAGAATCAGAGGTGTGGTTTGAGCTTTTGATACTTTGTGGTTTGATACTTCATGTACTGAGGTCGTCAGGCATTGGACACTGGAATGTCATTCTTCTCAATGACACAAGGGATTTTGCTAGGATAGAAATATTTAGGTCATCAGCTGAGCAAAGGTTAGGGCTGATCTTGTCCCAACAGTGCAGCACTAGATGCCAAGGGCAGTTCTGCCTGAAACTTCAGGTGCTAACGGGGCTTGGGCATGTGTACTGCGATGGTTTGGTAAGGTTTCTGCAGAACTCAGGCACCAGAAGTCTTTCTAAATGGCACTGTAGGTGTTTAAATGGTTTGTGCAATATCTGACCTTTTAGTTGGCAAGGAAATAACAACATTTTGTTAGTGAAATGCTACTGAAGTGTGAGACAGGAGTCTTTTCAAGTCAGTGCTTGTATTTAAAAGTTCTACAGAAGTCACTCCTTCATTCCTTCTCCATGTCTTGCAGACAAGTTTAACAAATAACATCCGTAAGGAAATAAGTTCCATCATCTGCTAGCAAAAGCTTGACCCACAACCAAGGAAATGAAAGATTCTTTTACCTCTAATCCAGCTGGTTTTGGATGAAACTCTTCATCGTAATCATAACATCCTCATAAACCAGAATTCAGTGCTTCACATGTAAGCGCATGTATAAAAATACCTGCCTGCATAGTCAATAGCCAAGTCCCTGCACCAATCAAAAGCATCCACCAAAATTCCTAATCGAAAAATAACCTATAAATTTCATATAGCTAATAAGTTAATATATGAAAATGTAATGCTTTGGTTCACGATTACAGGCCTTCAGAGCTTCATGCGACTGCAACTGATGTGTTTTTTTGTTTTTTAAGTATTTGTACTTGCGTCTCATGCCAAACCTGTGAAGCACATCTGGTATCAACTTGTAAAGTTAGCACAGTTTAAAATTCTTGCTTGTTCAGAAAAATAAAGAAAATGGTACTCTTTAAGCTATTATTTTCTGACACATTTATGGTGGTACTTGGTATTCTGTGGGTTTACAGCTTCTCTTCACCTTGCTGAGAAAGAGTTTAAATCAATTTAAAGTAATATGTAAAAGATTGGACAAGGCTGACAACAGGAAGAAAACAAACAGTGGTTCTCATTAATGTTGACAAATCTGGCAGTGTAAAGGAGCTTAAAGTATAAATAAATGTGACTTAGTCTTATTCTGGCCTCTTTTCACATTGCTAGAGTTGCGTGAAAGAGAACCAGACCAAACATTACTGAGCTGCAGGGAAGCCAGGGCCAAATTCTGAACCAGTTTACATGGAAGATCATACCCAGTAATTCCAGTAAAGATCAGAATCTGACTTTAATATTAGTGATAACATTAATGTTTTACTGCTAGGTAAAATTCCACTTTTTAAAAATAAATGTTCCCTTAATTACAGTGCTACTTACTGCCTTTTTTGCAAAAAAGACAGAGATCTACAAGGAATTCAACATTACCAAATTTGTATCTTGTATTATCATGAAGAACCTAGCATTGCAATACCAACTGGGTTTTAAATAATCAAATCTTCACTCTTTTATTAAAATCTTCAATAACTCAGACAAAACTAAGATATTCAGGAAGAAGGTGCCTAATGACAGCTTCAAAATTTTGTCTGCAACTACAGCAAATACGTGAATTAGTTCTTCAGATTCAGAAAATATGCAAATCTATATGAAGAAATATCAAAGAGAACTCAGACTGCATAAAGAAATATCAAACGCAGTTAACAACTACCATGCACCTATTACCAATTTAAAAGGGCTTGTTTGGAAAATCTTTCCAATTAACAGCTACTAACTAATATACACTGAGGGTCCTGATAATTTTCATCTGTAAATTGTTTAAAGTGATCAATACTGCCGTGTCTCACAAAAGATTACCACCAGGAATTACCAGGGGATGCAAAGTAGGACTCGGATGTGCCTCAGCCGTTCCTGATCTCCGCCTGGCACACCAACACAAACCCACCCTCATCTGTGGTTTAAGCTATGAACTGGAGTAGCTGGAGCGCACGTATGCTTTCTTTCTTCCATTGACCTTCTCAGAGGGCTGGTAACCTCCAGTCCTGAGGCCAGACAAATCACTGGGGATGTTACTGTCTGAGATCTCCCAGGGCTTGTCTGTCAGGGCAGTGACATTCCGTAAATACTTCTAGTTTTAAACATTTAGTAAGTGTGCAGAAAATATACACACAGAGGAACCTCGGACATTCATGGCTAGACTTTCAGCTACTGAGCCATGTGGATAAAATTAGTATTTTCTGGAAAGAAACAAAAAAACCATGTGATTTTTCAGAAATCTTTGAAGCTGGGACATGCCTCATGGTTTAGATTCCTTTTTAACACATACATCATTCAGTGGATCACCCCAGCTGCATTAAGAATTGCAAAGGCTACTTCCCTATTAATTCACAATCAGTAAACAACCTTGCAGTGCTCCAATTATTCACAGTAGCAAGGCACTTACGATCTCTTTAACAGCTGCAAATGAGAAAGAAAAGCCAGAGTTATGTGAACAACCCTGACACATCCCAATAAGAGCATACAAGTTTAAGGTTATTCCTTAAAATACAACATTTAAAAAAAAATCTCTTGTAACTGCAGTCAAGCTTGCACAAATTAAATACACTTTCTTAGCAATTTTATTATTATCACTCATTTTTAGATTCATTTTTATTTGTTTGTCTTCTGCTCTTACAGTATTTATGAATTTGATGGTAGGCCATCAGAGAGCTGCAACGGATAAACAGCCCAGGAATTGAGGATCTAATCCTGCATCCACATAAGCGGACCTGTATCATTGCAGACCTGCAGTGCATGGCCTCTCAGCACAGGGCTGCGATCTGTACAGGAACTGCTTTGTCTCTTCATAACGTTGAGCACAATCTGACCAGATTTCAATGGTGTGGGGACAGGGAGAACTGCTGTTGTATTTGCTAGATATGTGCAGATGCCCATAAACTGGAAAACGAGCATTTCAGTGAGATCAGAGGATCCTCTGCAGCACGAATTCCCCCTTCCTGTATTTAAGGCCAAAGAGGAACAGCTACTGGTTCATAAACTGGAGGAGCTCTATAGTTACCGAAGAGGTTTGTTTTCATTTCTGCTAATGCTGCAACCAAGACACTAGGGCAGAGCAAATCTCAGTGTTATCATAGTATACAGGAGTCACTGCCAGAAGACAACAACTCACACATGTACCACCACTGCCACTGCTCCTAGTCATCTAGGCTAACAGACTACTACACACTGGTATAATCAGACAATTACTCTTTTCTTTTCCACCCAAATTTCTACCTGTCATACAGATAAGGACTGTAGATGCTTCCTCTACGTCACACGCACTCCATTCCTAAGTTTTTGGTTTTCCAGTACAACACAATCATACTCCTTCTTGCAGCCCCTGCCCAAGCGTTACTTTGAGGGCTTACCATTGGGTCGGATAGGAGGGCTGCGAACCAAAGGGCTGGTGGATAAACTGGTTAGTACCATGGCTGCTGTTACTTTATCCATGTCCAGTTCTTCTGATGATTTTCTGAAACACAGTGAATGGCAGGCAGAAAACACATCAGCAAATTTTAAATTTTTTTCAGTGTTTTTCGTGACAGACTAAACACTAAGATAGCAGAGGACAGTAACCAAAGTAAGTTACCAAACAGAGTTCTGAAAGATTTGGTCTTCAGTCAGCCTGAGCATACTGAGTGACTACTTTAAGCAAATCAGCTCAGTGTAAATGGGAAAAACACTGGAGAAGAGAATAGGTCTTCACATAAAGCTGTCAGGATTACCGTGACCCTCTACTAGTTTGACACAGTTCCTTATCTCAGAATTTCAGCTATTCATATGCTTAAAGCTAAGTGTGTATTTAAGGAGTTTTTTTGGATGAAGACACAGACGCAAAACTAGGTAAGATTACTAGCAACAGTAATAACATACACTGTCTCTGTAGGCTGAGGAAGAGCCAGGAACTAGAACTCAGGGATCATATTTTTTCTTTGTTGCTTCTGCTTAAGGTTATTAATTTTCCTGTACTCTCTCTGAAAGACAAATGAGTTTTACCTAATCAGATTATAAGGCATTTATTTAAAATCCACATACATACAAATCATGTTCACTTCTTCTTCGTTGTCCATTAATTTTAAACATCTATTTTGACCATACAACCAGTGATAAGCTAAGGGGCAAAATTTCATGAGACAAGCTGAGCCAACAATGCAGTGCCCCTGAAAAGGGTGGTCTCCAACCCAATTTTCATCCACCTCAGGCCAATTGCTCCCATTGCTATCCTTGGGCCAACTCTGGCGTTCATCACACTTCCTATGGGCCAATCCAGCTAATTAAGTTGGCGGAAAACTACTGCAGCAAAAGAAACAAGAGTTTTCTGCTGGTTTAACGGGCCAAGTCAGCCCACCAAAGGTTCCGTATCGAGCGCATGAGCTGTCAGAAAAGCGCTTGCAGGGTGGGGGCAGAAGGAAGAGAGTGAAAGGTTACTTCAGCTCACCTTCCTTGTGAATCAGCCCTAAGTCATTGCTTTGATTCCCACAGTTAAGATCAATAGGTTCTGGGAAAAGCAGGAGACAGGCAGAGGCCAGGGATCATTTCAGCACCTTGCACTGAAGTCGAGGCAGAACTCTGCGCATTTAGTAGCAACCAGCCAAGAATATCCGCTTACACGGGCCACTCTGTAAAAGCGTCTGTAGCACCACAACACACAGTGTCTTCTTCCCGAAGAAAAGGAAGAAGGGGTAATAAGGGACAGGAGCGTAGAGAGAGCTTTCCAAGCGAAGGAGGAGAGGATATAGAAATGTCTCAGGAAATTAGGCTTCAGTGATCCACTGCTCAAGGAGTAACTTTCTTTCGACAACAAAGAATTTTCTTTAGCTGTAAAAACACTTCTCTATATATCATCACTTTTTTCCCTAAATGATAACTCTCCTGATAGATTAAGCAACATAACATAAAATTTCTAGGGAGTGAACGTATCAAAAAAACCCAACTAAAACCACTAGGTTTATCAGACTTTTCCCTTCCATCCTTTTAGGAACGTGGAATCAAGACACAGAGCTTCCTTTAAACATTTGCTCAACTAAGCACACAAGACCATCTTCTCACTTATTAGAGATGAAGAAGTTACATTTGTTCTTGCAAAAGAGCTTTTTTCTTTTTTTCTTTCTTTTTTTTTTTTAAATTGTGCATTGTGGGATTTCTAGAATTTCATTTGTTCCTTGTCAGGAACTCTATTTAAGTGATTAGGAGGGGATCTTCATTTAAAGCCCCAAATGAGAAGAGCTAGCTGATGTTTTTCTTCATAAACTGTTGTTCTGTAAGTCACCAAGAGGAATAGGATATGCTGGTTGCAGCGCCCTTTCCAGAGTCTCATTTATTGTTCCCAGTTGTTTCAGACTGCAGTTTGCTGGGATGGTACATAAAACTCGCAAGCTGTCTGAAATACTTCAAATGCAAAGTTTATCAACTGGCATGTGTGCAGTTCTCCCAAATCGGGTGAAAGACATTTACTCGAAACTCTGCTATTGTCAAAGCTTTTGATGTCTGAGTAAACCTCAAACAGTCCAATGAAAACGCATATCTAATTTATGGCTGATGCCAGGACTCGCATAGGTACCTTCCAACACTTCCCCGTGCTGCACAAAGGCTTAGCTCTCAGGGCTGTCTCTTACAACACATCAGTGCCTGCAACTGGAACACTGATGATGGTGCCTGCTACATTCTGATTATATCCACAGAAATCCTCCTTCTGTTCAGTCAGGGCTTTTGCAAAAAAATACAGCAGCTATATGTTCATGACCAAGTATTTGAAAAGATCTTGAATATCTGCTATAATCAGCTAATACCTGAATTCATCACCCATCAGTTCCTCTCATCTGCAGAGTAATATTTCACTTGGATTGTAAAGTTTCTCTGGGCCCAGAAGATTTTTCCTCAGGGATTACACGGAGCTACTACATTTTCTGGAGACCAATTCTGCCAGATGATTTTCCAGTTACCTAATAATCCAGTATGAAAGTCCTCTCTGAGACGCATTTAGCTGTTCTGATGTTCACCCATGCAACGCTACACCAATGTCCCTACTCATTTATCCCGTTCTGGATGAACCAGTAGTATTAGGACATGATGAGAAAGAAACAACCACAGGTTCCTGATACGCCTGAAAAGCTAATCACTCACGTTCTCTAGCTTGTACAATCAGCCTTCCAACAACGCTGTTCTGTATGTGGCAACAGGATTAACACGCTCCTGTCCAGAACTCCGCAGAATTGCAAAATCCTGTTACCGCAGCTGTTGCAAGTATTTGCCAAGTTGACGTTAAGATTTCAGAGTCTAAAGACCCAGTGCTAATCCCAAACACAAAGTTCCTCCATACAAACAATAACAATATTCTATAATTTTAACTACTTTTAGCTTCCTTGTACTGATGCATTATTTTATTCTCCTTTACAATGACTCAGATTGTACTCTAAAAAACCCACCCTTTTCCCTGTTCTTTTGTCAGTAATGCTCTAAAATTGTCAGCATTGGCATCTGTGCTTAAGATGAAACTTTCCTGAAACACAAGTAGGCAAAGGGCAGAAAGAGTCATAAGCACCCTTTCCCTTTCTGAACATGGTAAATCACACTCTTTAAATTACTGGAATGTTTTTTTTCCTCACTCAATCTATCAAACATTTTTTCAACATGGAAAGCGCAAATAAATAAAACTTCTAATTTTTTCTTTGTCCATTTTGAATCACAGTCATCTTCTATTACTTACTGCTTCTCAAACACATTCAGCAAAAAAGGAATGATCCATTTTTTATTCCTAGCCACAAGAATTTTAACAGCTACAAGTCCTGGCTACACGAATCTGCTCCCAAACACGTTTTTACACTTTGGCTCATAAGAGTAAATACACATATTTCATACACCATTCAGGCAACATCGCTGTAGGAACAGCAGCCTTCAAGAGAGAGGCAAAGCATAAAACTGAACACAGGAACCATACAAGCCATCTGCATTCAGTCAGCATCACATGTGAGTCTATGGCTTAAGAGTGCTCCAGCCTTTTCCAACTTTCTGTACTGGAAAGTTGAAGCTGCATGCAGCTGTTCAATGGTGTTAGTACTTAGAAGGGAGAAAAACTTGAATTGCAGACCAACTGCTTACAAATCACTTATTCCATTATTGCTAAGGTGATTTTTTACAGCCTGAAGTTGTGATCCCTGCCATTGATTATACTGTTATTAGGTATAATGAAATTAAGGAGTATGACATAAACAGGCATGCATTTATTTGCTACAGCCAGGATGAGATAACAGTATATTGAAATTGCTCTCTTCCTCCCATGCTTGTACTTCTAAATGCTCATAAAGAGGCCTCTGAAGTCTTACTTTGATCATCTAATTATAAGTGCATCGCATGCGGTCAAACTGAGCATACCAATCAATACTGATAAACATGTTGTTACAAGCTTCTGTACACCAAAAATATGATCTGTAATATAATGAACCATTGCAATTGCTGTATGAGTAGTGAAACAAGTATTTCTGAAAGAAGGATAAATCCTAAATCTGCATTACATTTTATACGTGAAATAAAAAGATTTTAGGTTTGTTCAATTGATTATTAACGGCAAAGCCAACATCCTCATAAGGAATCAGCAAGAAAAGACAAGCATGCGGTTGTTTTCTAAAATGGCTCTAGATATCTAAAGTAACTGTAAGTGCTCTTCTATCTTGAGCGAAGATCTACAAAGCCAGGCTGTAAAATATTATTAATCCATACAATAGTCTACATTTAAAATAATATTTGGTTACCATCTAACAATTTAAAGTACGGACACAGTACAGATAAATAAATGAACTAATCTTGCTCGTTGCTGTTATGTTCAGTTGTTAAAAATTAACTCGCTAGCCAAAAAAAGACAAAAGTAAAGATGAACCATGTAAACAGTCAGAGATCCTGAGCACTCTTCAGTAAAAGCTATAACTTTTTACAGTGAAGCAAAAAGCAACAGGAAATATTTGTCAAAAATTGGATTAAATCCGTATAGTGCTATAATGATACATCTTAAGAGATAAAGGAGCATAACTATTTACATGGCTAAAAAGAAAACTGGTGGTTGATATCCAAAGCACAAACACAATAGCATGATGCAATAATTTGAAGCTCTGCCTTTGTTCGTTATGGGCAGACATAACACAAACCTCTTCTACACTAACTTACTGACACTTGAGAGAACCAGTTCACATACAGAGCAAGGGCCCCTTCTGTATCCCTCTCTCTGCTGCTCTGGCTATATACAAGCAATTTTGCAGGATACCCACAGCTACTAGAAATTAATTACAATCAAAATCGTCTTTGTACAGATAAAGGAATTTTTCTTCTGAAAAATACACATCTGAACTTGCCATGGGGGGGAGGGGGGGAGAAAAAAAAAGGCATCAAAGCCCACCTCAAAGCTCTCCAACTCCCTCTGGCCCAGCTGATAGATTTTGTGATTCAGTTATTCAAAGCATCTTTCAAAGTCTGGCTGGTCTG